GTAGGTTGGAGGCCATCGCTAGTAGGTTGGAGGCCATCGCTAGTAGGTTGGAGGCCATCGCTCTTAGGTCGGAGACAACGCAAAGCGGTCTGTGTGGCATCTGCGAAGAACGCTGCCGACCTAATGAACGGAGTCTCATGGGTGTGCGTCTCTGGAATGAAAGGTGTTGAGACTAAGCTTTGGATCCCTGCAGGCCGTTTTCTTGGAGCTGACCTGGAGGAGTCCTTCCTATTCAATCCAATCAGTCTTCAGCAATTGCGCTGTCTTAGTCAAGCTCAGGTAGCCAAGACTGGAAACGAAAAGAGTACCGCATCCGGCAGTTCTCCAGCATCGGGACTCCACAACCAAAGACTGGCTGCAGTTGACCTGGCAACACCCAAAGACCTGGGGGTTGTGGGTTCTTACATCTTTCTGTTCAACCGTTCGGACAGTAAGGGATCCTGTCACATGGTGGGATCGGAGACTAATTAAGCCCACATAGTTCTACTAACATCCTGTCACTTACATACCAAGTAGATCCCAACAGTTTTGGGGCCCGATCCTGCGTACCACTTACTTGCTTTCCCTGTCGCTGGTCTCTATGCGTTCGGAACACACAACCTGAAGAGTCTTTGTGGGGACACTTGCACGTCCGGAAGAAAACACCACATGAAACTCTGGAGCAAACCAGAGTGTCCTGCTGTTTGGGCCTCTTTCGTGACCAGCGTGTCCTTCTACTTCTTTCAGACGAGTTACATACGGTGTTAATCGGTGTTGAACATCCAGAAGCATCCCAGATGTGAAGGGCATACCACGGAAATCGATAAGCATGTTGCTCATAAAGTTTTACATAGCTTTACACATCGGCTTTTTGGTGGCCACACAGTCTTGACGGAGTTCTTCAAAGTTTTTTGATTCCAATTTCATTGACGGTTCCTCGCTTCTTCCTCAGTTCACCAAACCAGTCCATTCGGCCGCCAGACACTGCATCCATCTGCCCCGACCGCATCTTTCACCGTCATGGGGCACATGCACTGTACACGGCAGGGGGAAGACATGGTTGAAACAACGAATGGCCACGGTGGAAGATGACAACTCGAAGTCCGCATGGAAGCGGAGAAACCATGGAGTGTGCAAAGGTTCCTGAGTTTGGGTCTTATGTTTCCAAGAGAGATGGTTCGGGATTCTGAAGCGACCCTTGTGCCTTGTAACCCTTCGTTTTATAGAAGTGGCACTCCAAAACTCTAGCTTTTTTGCTCTCCAATCACACTCGGGGGTTCATTGTGGAACGGAAGAGAGCAGCCCAACTAATTGTTGACTTCGCAGTGAAATAAAGATTGGAAACAACTCCTCGAACAAGGGCCACTGTACACAAAAACTGGGGGTCGTCGGCCAATACTTGCAACCTAATGGGCTTCCTCCACCTGCTCTAAGTCAGAGTTCGCCAGCCGCCACATTTGTGAGGGGATCAGGCGATGTAATTCAGCAAATCTCTTGCACATCTCTCAATAAGTCCTACCATCAATTACGCTCTTTTGAAGCGGCAGATCTCGTGGTGGTCATTTGGCGACACTTCCATGGAAAGTTCCATTGGGTGACACTTCCGAGATGATAGGACATGAAAGCAATATATTTTTGGACGCTCCATATGGAAATGATCACTCTTCCGGTCCAACACATGGGACTCTGAAAGAAACAAACGACGACTTTCTTGAGTTGGCTCTTGAGACACCAGCTCACTCTGGATTACTTTAGTGCTCCCGCTGGCAATACAAGCCTTTGCCGGGTCAAAACTCAAAACTGCCGCGTCTTCACATCCCTTCCGCAAAAACCCATGATCTTCACTCACCCTCCTTCACTCTCCCCATCCCTCCCCACCCCCGCTTCACCTGCTCCACTTGCCCCTGCTCCTGGACCTGCGACACGTCGCCGCCGCAGGCGCCCAACCCCCAGGCGCTCACGGTGCCGTCGCGGTGCAGCGCCGCGAAGGCGGCCTCCGTGGCGCGGAGATGCTCCACGTCGCCGATGACCTGCACGGAGGTGGCGGTGGGCGAAGGGTGGGGGTTCTGCTTCGTTCGAATCCAAGTGCCACTTTTTGTAGGTTTTTGGGGAGAGGTGGTCAGATATTGGGGTCATATTAAGGGTGGTCATCTACCCAAGACTCTCTGAGCTGGGCAAAGCACCCAGCCTTCCATGCTGCCGTCCTTTGTATCATGGGCCCTTCCACCCTTCCCCAAAAACACAAACACAAACACACACCTGTTAATCACTTTGTCATGTATTTTTATGTCCATTGTCTCATCCTTCCGGTCTCACATCACGTACTTCTCGAATTCGATCTCTCCGGGTTTCACCGTGCGAACTGAAACTGCTTCACCTCTACCCACCTGACCCGGGTGCGAACCGTATCTCTCTACCTAACTGAAATTGCAGCAGCACCACTCGCCAACCCCCGCCGACCCGCCGTGAGGTCTCCAAGCACCTGCGTGAGGTCTCCACCTTGCTTGGAGCTGCCCCAGCACACGACGGAACCATCCGCCTTCAGCGCCGCAAACGCAGCGCTCGTGGCGCAAAGCTGCTGGACGTTGTTCAGCTCCTCCGGGCCGGTGACCCCTTTTGAAGGTGCTGGTTGTAGTCTAAATCATACAGTAAAGGCACCACTTTTGGGGGTGAGTGGGATGCATAAGCTTGGTAATCGATTTGTTCAGGGGATATGTGGCTATCCTACAGCCTGTATCGCTTGCTAATTACTTTTTTTCATGTGTTTTTTTTCCCATCAACAATGGCACCACAGTGGAAGGACATTAAACAAGAGAAGCTATTCCTCACCTTCATCATCAGGTCTGACAGAGGTGTAGACCTGGAAATTGAGGCCGATCGTCCAACCCTGAAGAACACTTCACGAGCCATGGTGTCCTTGGTCTTATCCTGGGACCTGTTGCAAGAAACTCGTGATAAACTCAAGCTCCAACTTTCTCAACTTCTCCAGTCGCTTCCTTTCCTATTACTAATATGATCTACTGTAACATGTACAAACCATATCGAGACCTGAACAAAGTTTGATTTTGGGCTTTCCATTTGCACTCAACAGGTGTTTTCCGTAGGCCCCACACCACCACTTGCTTTCTCGCTGAGACGTCCAAGTGTGAAGTCCCCAGTCTTTTGCGAGTTTACATGGTGAGATTTTTTCACAATGTGGTCAATTCTGGTCAGACCAAAGAAGACAACGTAAAACAACCAACACAAAAGACATCTACGATCTTGGGCCACATGACATATGCTTGCCAATGTTTTTCGTGTAAAGGAGGGAGGGTGAACACCGTCCAGATGTAGGAAATCCTACACAGAGTTCGTGCCATCCAACTCATACCCGGCCTCAACGGTGCTGCAATCGCCGCCCGCGTACCAGGGGCCCCACGCGACGACGCTGCCGTCGCGCTTGAGGGCTGCAAAGGCCAGTTGTGTGGAAGTGATCTCCAGGACGTCAATGAGCTGATCCTGCAGGAAGGTTGATTGTGTTTTTGATGCATCTAGGACCTTGAGTTTGATTGGTTTTGGTTGATGCCTTTGATGGACTTCGCTTTTCAAACATTCCACAAGAGGTTCAGAAGGAACTCTGACAGGGTGCTTTTTGAAGATCATTCATTCTGTTGATTATTGTTGACTCATGTCTGCTTCAGGGGGGCTGCTGGCAAATCGATGTTGAGTGCAGTCTGGAGCATGACACAGCTTAAAACCAACGGAGTACAGTAATCATTATATGAGTCATTTCAATGGGTGTATTGCGGGCTACGTACTCCATGCCCTCCGGTGCTCCAAATGGATGAACATGGAGCTTCTTGGAACGGTCTCAAGAAGAGTCGTTTGGGGGGACCATGTTCAGGCCTTTAAACCAGGGCTCTTCAAGGATCACCCGTTTCCACCGAGCACCCACCACATCCCACACGCGGCGCGGCCGGCGGCGATGCGCTGCCCAGCGCTCTGAGCGCTCTCCTGCACGGCGCTGCTCTCGCAGGCGCCCCAGGACTGGGCACGGCCATCGGCCAGCAGGGCACAGAAGGAGCCTGCGGAGCAAGGCCGAAGCGCGGGTGCCCGTTTTTCGGGGTGGAGTGTTCCGGAGCGAAGCAAAACGAAAATGCTTGGCTGCTTGAGCTCTAAAACGAGCAGGACAAGCAGGACAAGTGTTTCTGTGGTTCATCCGCTGAATGAAGGTTTAAGACCCAATGTGAACAACAGAAACTGGATGTGCAAGGGTCACAAACAAGACTGAACAAAACCCCTTGTTAAAACACTCAAAAATAGAACCGAAGAGCTCAACACTGTGGTCTTCTAATGATTCAATCAAGTACCATTGGAAGCACGCAGAAAAAACAACTGCTGCAGTCTTCAGAAAGGGTCTCACCTCACTCACCTTCGCCTTTCTTTTGTCTTTTTGTCTGACGACCGGGTGACCCATGCCTTCACAGGCGTAGACCTCCACCACGCCCTCCAATTCTTCGCCACCTCCGCTGATGCCGCCCCAGCAGATCGCACGGCCGTCGTGACGCACGGCACAGAAGGCGCCCTCGTTGGCACGGAGGTGGTGGACATTCACCAGGTGATCCTCGGATCCGAAAGAGGCGGGCTGGGCGGGTGCGAAGCCGGTTTATCAAAGTGATATAAATTAGGATGATTATAGGATGATGATACATGTTGCTAATGATTCCCTTGGTAGTTCTTAGGTGTTCTTTGCTGGTTCAAACAAGGGAGCTGTTGATTGTTGATGATATGATACTCAATTTTATATGCATCTTTCATGCATCTTTCGTTTCTTTGTTACTCACCTGACTCCTGTTCTTCAGAGTACCTCATGACAAAAGAACGTGTATATGTATCTTCAGATTGGGGATCCTCACTAGATCTCATGAGATCTGCTCTTTCCAGCTAAATCGAAGGGAACATAGGCTCTCCTGACTTGGCGCCCGTCCTCCACATGGTGGTGAGGAAAATGTTCTTTTTGTAGTTGTTGTACTTATTACTTATTGGTGCTTATTGATGCTTATTGTACAAACAGTAACCTATATATGCAAGCAAAGGGCCAAGAACAAATACATCCCCAAACCTGCATGGATCATCTCCATAAGCAGCATAGACACGGACAAAACATCTCCAGTATTCCTACTATGTCACTATGATTCACTATGTATTCCTTTTGGAGTTGACACCTTCAGCAAACCTCACGCTTCGCCCTCCGCAGCAAACCTGCTTCCTCCTGGGTCCTGGGTCCTTCTGGTTCGACCGTCTCCCGGATCTCTTCGGAGCGTCGGCCACCGACGTGCAGTCGCCCCCGTGGTCCGGATCGCCCCAGGCCACGACCTCGGAGCGTCCGAACCAAGGCAAGGGCAGACCCGGTCGGTGGGGGCGAAACGAACCTGTCCGACCGAGCCATTCGTAGTCCACCCGGACCATGGGGGCTTCGGTCCGACAAGTGGAAGTCTGTGTGCTTAAGCAAATTGGGTCACCGTAGTATGCACCTAGCTGGAGCTCAATAGATGTATTGGACCCTTTGACCACCATTGTCACATTGTCTTGTTTGAGGGGAAATCCAGGCAATGCGAGTCTGCGGTTGAGTTAGTTGCCTTGGAAGCCTTGGGTATGGCTTCTAATATAGGGACGGAACCAACATGAACCAACGCCCTCAACATGATTCAACATGTCTACCTTGAGAATCTCAATTCATTATTAATTCATTGAGGTTCTTAGGACCTTTCCCTCCTTGTCATCCGTCTTTAATGCGAACTCCAGGCCATCCATCCACCAGAGCTCCACGCGCTGAGTTCCCCGGGCGCGACCGTCGGACGTCAGGGCGGCGAAGGCGTACTCCGTGGCACAGAGCTCTCGGACCTCCCCAGAGCTCTCCAGCGCCTGGGGCGAAGCGAGCCGTGGCGAAGGCGTCGCGTGGGGAGGCGGTGAGGACGAAGCTTGGGGGGGCCACAGGGGTTGGAAGCTCTGTGACGTTTGTGGCGCGTGTTGGGGAGTTCACTTGATCTCACTGCCAGGGAGAGGAAGGACTATAATGATGGAAGGCGGTCCAAGTCCTCAGGAAAGGCCAAACGGTCTTTCCTTCTCAGGCATGTTTCCAGATTCTATGCCGATACAGTGCTGGGATGTTGGGGATACTGACCGGTGACAATGCGCTTGGTGTATTGAAGATGTTGTAGTCGTAGGTCAGTCGTAGATCATAAGACTTGAGTTGCTTGCATTCTTCGGTCCCTTGCTTCCGTCTCGGCCATGCTTCCTCCTCAGACTCCCAAAGCAGCGGAGAAAGATCGACCCACGCGCGGGGCGCCCCACCTCGCAGGTCTTGCCGCCGCCGCGTGGCATGCCCCAGGCCACGCAGGTGCCATCGCGGCGCAGCGCTGCGAAGGCCATGGAGCTGCCCACCACGTGGCACACGTCGTGTAAGGACGACTGCACGCTACGGCCTGGGAGGTGCTGCAGTGCTGGGAGGTCGGGGCTGGATGGCTTCGGCTGAGAGGCGAGCCGTGTGTGATGTCATTTTGGATTGAGAAGAGCAGACCGTGACGGTGGCAAGCTGTGTGAGCAGTGAGAGATGAACAAAATGATGGGGGGTAGCTTTGCGTGGGATTTCAAGGGAAAACAGGTGGAGGTGGAGGTGATTGAACACATGGCAGGCCTGCAATAAGTACTTCACCCAATACTTTTCCAATCTACCTCCAAACATGGCTGATCCCCATTCTCGATGCTAACCCCATGCACATTTGCATGGGGCTATAGAATCCTGCTCACTCGGTAGCTGCTCTGCGCTCCCACATCTGGTCAGATCTTCCTCCAGACAAGGAAAAAGCTTTGCCTGTTCAAGCTGCTGCCTGTTCCATGCATCCTCGCCTCACAACTGGCAGCCTCTGGTCACACGGCTCTTTTCTGTAGCCCTTTTGAAGCAGCAGTTGCGTTGCGGTTTCAAGACTGTCCCGGCGGCTCTATGTCCGATATCAGCTTTGTCAGCAATCTTGTGAAAGACAACTTTGTGTGAGAGTAGTTCACAGAGATTCACATGGCGTTTTGGGGAGATTTGCTTGCCACTTCACAGATTCTATGGCTGCAAGCCACGTGCTTAGCTAGCTTCTCCGGCGCTCAAAAGGGCCAAATACAAACGACTTGACCCAACATCCAGAAGGTGTGAGTGCTGAATGTAAACACATAGCATCAATTAGCATCACATAACTTATATGCCAATGGTGCGCCGCACGCCATTAGGGGTCACAAAAAAGGGATCATTGGCAAGTGATCCGTGTGAAGAAACTCAAGTTTGCCAGCAATCTTCGTAGACTTCTTGGGATGGACGACGCTTCAATCACAGTGACGCACGGTGGAAAGGCACTGTCTGCCACGTCTGTGACCGAGAATGGGAGTGCAACGTCTTGTAAGGAGCTGCAACCCCTGAAAGCTTCAGCTCCAATCACAGTGACCGAGTCGGGAATCGTCAGCTTCGTCAACGCGCTGCAATCATAGAAGGCCTCATCTTCAATGCGCGTCACAGTGTTGGGAATGATCACTTCGCTCCATGAGCGACAGCCCTTGAAGGTGGCCTCCTCCACACAAGACACGGAGTTGGGAATCAATAGTTTTCTCAAGGAGGCGCATCCTTGAAAGGCACCCAGTTCAATCGAAGTGACGGAGGTCGGGATGTCCAACTTTGTCAGGCTGCAGCAGCCACGAAAGGCAAAGGCCGCAATGCGAGTCACACAAGAGTTGCTTCAAGGAGTCGGGTGCAGTTTGACAGTCACTGTGTTGGGGATCTCCACTTTCACCAATGCTTCGCACCGAGAAAAGGCAAAATCAGCGATCCTCGTTGCCCCACTGGGGATTTTCACCAAGCGCAAGTTTTCAGTTGGTTCACAACCAGCGGACCATTGGGTAGGACATTCCACCGGCTTCACAGGCGTGAACAGCACCTGCACCTGCAGTGAAGGGGTCTCAAATTGACGACCACTTGCAACATCTTGCAACTCTGCAAGTGGAACAACAAAATACAAAAAAAGGCCGATCTCCTTTGTCTAAAACTGGCCAAACAGGAGCTGAAGCTGATTTGCGAAGTGGCTAAATCAACACCCCCGGCCTCCACACCAGCGGATATGCCTGCTTCAACCTGCGTCTTCTGATCGTCCAAGGTCTGCAGCTCGAAAACCACGTCCATCGTCGTTAGCCTTCGCGTGACCTCGTCATTGCAAGGCTGCAAGTCCTTCAGCAGGTGCTTGAACTCACGGATGGTGGCATGCTAACAGTTGGGGTGGACAAAACAAGATAACATATATACATAGCAGGTGAGCCTGATTCTCTTTGCAAGTTGGATCACATTGGCTATATGGTTTCCTTTTCAATGGTTGCACTAAACCCATTTCATTGTTTTTTTAAAATAAACTGTGTTTGATCTTGTCAACTTACATTCTTTACAAGAAAGGTTACACTGTCCAAACAAAGCTTTAAACCTGCGCGCTTGATGGACCAATGGACCTGGTGGAGGAGTATCTCACTTTGACTCGGACAGAATCTCAACTGAACTTGCTTCTTGCCAGCTGATCATTGCATAGGGCTTTCAATCATTACTTTTGGGCAAGGTGAGGGTTACAACCATTGTTTCGCTCTTCCTTATTCTGCGGAAGAGGCTTCCAGGGCGATGCTTGCCGAATCATGGTGGCGATGGTTCTTGTGAGTCATGCATGGTTGTTCCATTTGCTTTGCTTCGCGCTTTCTCTCAGGCGAAACTTGAAAGACCTGGTGGACAACCTTGATGCCAGCAGCGAGACTAACTATTGCCGCACTTTTTGGAGGTGGTTAAGCCGCCAGAAATGGCGGAAGATGCTGCCAAAGCCAGTGGAGTACCTTTTCTTAATATTTTTATAATGTTTTCAAAGGTGTCTTGTGCATTCGTGTGCGCTGACTCATTACTTTTCAATCTGCTCAGGGTCCCTGTCTGGTTGCAAGACATGTCTCGAGATCCGCCAGTGTATCTATCCACTTGGCATGTCCTTCTTCCAACTGATATGAAGCTCGGTATGTTTCATTGCAGGTCAAATTGGGGATGACTGGTTTGCTTTTTTCAGGGATTTCACACATCTATAACTACAGCTTTGATCTCTTCAAGGACAAGCTGATCGGTCCAGAAGGGTTTCCTTGTTCTATTTCTTATTACTTTTTATGTTGCAAATGGGTCAAAGGAGTTGAATAGCAGTTCATGCACCGATCCAATTGAGGCACTCCAGGAGTTTTGGGAATCTCACAAATCCTCGCCTTGGTTCCGGAATCACCCTGTTCTCAGTGACAGCGCTCCTTGTTTTTGGCATTGGGTGTCATGATGTCAGTTTGGGATCGATGTCATTTCATTGTTGGCCATGTTCTTTGAAATAAGGCCGTCGATTTAGATCGGGTAATCCCGTTGGCGGTGCACGGTGATGAAGCAGATAGCCATAGACGGCGGAACTTCAGTGTCCTGACCGTAAGTTCGTTGGCATGTCATGGACCTCTGTTCGACTACAAGTTTCTCGTCTACTGTCTTGACAATAGTGTGGCGACAACTGACACGGCTTCCATGTTGGAACGCTATGTGGCTCACTCCTTGGCAGAGCTGCAAACCGAGACCCATGGGGTAGGCCAAATGCATCAAAGGATCGAGAAGGGCTCATTGCGGGTGGATATAGGTTCGTTTTGGCCTATATCAAAGGAGACGAGAAATGGATTCAAGGAACGTTCAAACCTTTGACAAGCTGGGTGAGCTCACACCCATGCCTACATTGCGGTGCAACCAGCACTGCAAATACATCAGCTGAGAAAAAACTTCTCTACAGCAACTTTGGCCCGGCGGCCTTCCATCGGAGCGCATCATGGTCCACAGAATAATTTCTTCAACAGGTTTGCCAGCGACAAACTTGGACGCTGGTGCCAGGTTTCCACATCAGCACTATCATATATGACTGGCTGCATGTGACAGAGCTATGTATCATCCCAGAATGTGCTGGTTCGGCACTGATACTTTCTTGAAGATAGATGTGTTACCGGAGTTTGTGCTTTGGATGCTTTCTGTCCATCTGCACTTGGCCTGAAGATTGAATTGATAGTGCGCCCCTCGCAAGTGTTTGGACCTGGAGCGGCCGATGCCAAACTGCAGAAGGCCTTTGTGATGTTTAACAAGGCATGCAAAGGTGCTCGTGTTCGCCCCCTGGGATTGTGGAGCACATGTGATCTTCTGCAATGCACGGAGCTCTGGATGATGTGTTCAACATGTGAAACATGTTCTGCTGAGGAAACCGAGGGCAGTTCTTCTCAGTGAAGCTCTACTGCATTAATTGCGAGTGTCCAGGGATCTGACATCGCAGGTTTATTTGTGTTGATGCCTCTTATTCAAAGAGATGAGGAACAATTTGTACCCAAATGGACCGGGTACTTACCCCAGCTTTGCCCAGAAACACATGAACGGTGCAGATTCTTGGTTCAAGTTGATGGAGTTGATGGTATTCCTGCATGGGTGACAGTCATTGTGCACTCTTAAGGAGTGTGTGGTTCTTGCAT